TATTTCATTAGGAGTCTGGAAAGCAGGCTTTTTCCGTGCGCGCGTGGCAAATTCCCGTGTGAGGCGTAGCCGAACACGGGAAGTCATGCAAGCACGGAAAAAGCATTTCTGGACGTGTAATGAACGATATTTCTTATTATACTTCTTTTAAATCGATAACATAAAAAACAACAAACTCGCTAACATTTTTATTTTGTAACAGTTATAGAAAATGCGTTTTCATGGTTACTCTCAAATCATTTCAAAGGCGATTTGTTTAATTAGTTTATTTCAGATAAGGTTGACGAAACGTCAAAAAATGTCACAAATTCTCAAAGAAGTTTATCTAAATATTCAAGCATCTACGAATTAAAACGCAAAATACTTACATATGAAACATTACAACGTATATAGATTTTCTGAAAATTAGTTTACTTCCCTGTAAATTTGTATTTTAAAGCAATATTTTGGGTATTTATATTCAGCGCACGGAAAGAATCAATGGGACCGGGAATAGTAGATTACATACCGAGCTGGGAGGTGGTTCATTACCTACCCCGAGGGCTTAAGGTATAAGCGCGAGGCGTTGGTTATGAACCACTGACCAGCGAGGTTTGTATACTATTTTACTCACAATCGATCATTTAAGGTAAAGTATATAATTCAACAAGGTGTTACTTTAACTGTCAATAATAGTGACACCGCCAATGTTACCATTAATGTTTACAACAATAGCAAATAGTTTCGTTCTTCTTCGTAATTTGCTACGTGCGCTAGCCTGGAAAAGGCCAGATACCGTTATTTCTAATACAGGTGTAAATAAGGTGATTTCAATGAAGTATAATAAAAAAGAGTTTATGCTGATGCTGTATTAGAAAGAAACGTTACCCGACGACCGAGGTATTTCCTACCACATTTCCTGTATTTCGTGTTCAATCCCATTGTCGATGTAAGAAAGTATTTCCAGTTGAATTGTCAACATCATTGTCCAACCTAAAATATATAAGGTATTGTAATTTTATTGCATTAAATCTAATAATTAATTCAATTTTCAATAGAAAACATTGTCCAAATTAATGTGTTCACCCTGTATTCATGTACAATAAATCTTTCCTGAAAAAAAATGGTGGATTTTGTGGCTGTTCGGTTGTAAGGAAAACTAAGAATATTTGATTCAAAATATCTTGGCCAAGTTTTTATTTTGCAATATAATTAATTCGAATTTCCCAAGAAAACTTGTAAAAAGGGAATGTGATTGGAACGTCCATTTTTTAATCAATACGTTACGTTGATTTGGTGTAAATTGTTCAATTAACTATGAAAATTTCAAGGCAAGTTTCAGGAAAAAGGAGTTCATCTATCGTAACTAATTGTGTATTTTTATCATTAAGAGCTAGCAGAGACAATAAAGGAACTTTATAAGAAACTTTCATTTTTTGATAAAGAATCCATAAAGTGGTAAAGTAAGAGTGTTCAGAGCCCCTAATTGAAACAGCAAAACCCTATTTCATGGTCAATACCGATAAATGTTCACTTTGTTACGATTGTGTGAAGTTAAGGGGTTGTTAATTTTCCTGCCAAAATCAAAATGCATTAAAAAGAATTAATTTCAATCAGAAGGTTATCAAAAGTCATCCGCTCTTTACAACACTGTAATAATCTTAGATAAGAAATAAGGTAAACTTTCAATACTTGCTCTGGGAAATTTCACCAGTTAAGCAAACTGAACAAATGCACTTCGAACAAATTGGAATAGAATTAAATAGCCAAATAAATTACCGCATGGTGAAATTAATTCCATAATTTGAAAAATCAAATTTGCGGTACGGTACTCTTCTGTATGACAATTTTTGACAATCTTTGCAGTAGTTGATCCCCCTTTATCCAAAAAAAGGTGTATGCATAGGTATTCATCTTTATTTTGAACGTTTCGTGCTACATAGTTGTATAGGTACATTCTACTTGACTTATTACCTCATCAGAGAAAGTACTGAATTTAAATAATAATAACTTATATGTGGTGTTATGATATACCTACTTAACCCACATGCAGAGAACAATTCAAATTCTTTAAACAATTGGTTTGAAGATCTGATGCAAGTACAGCCAATTTCGTAATCGTGTGAGGAAAGAAAACTTCTAAAAATGATATTTTGAATCCACATCGACTGGAGTTAATTGCTAGATTTCGCTTTGCCCGTTGCCGCAGGGTAAAAAGTGAATGACTGATTTCTGTAGTTTACTAGTAATGATAGCCAGTAAAATCGGTCTTCTGTAAACTGCGATTTCTATAATTTCTTGTTAAAATTTCACTGCTTCGTTATTGTGCACCTAAACTGAAGACGTGTAATAATCGCCTAAATAACGGGTGTATTATAACTAAGAAATTAACCCCTAAGATAACAAACACTTTTGAAAACGTATCCTCTGATGAGCCCAAATATAAGCTCAGTCATTGCTAGTAGTACCTACTCAGTACGGTGTAATCGTAAATAATTTAACTAATCTCTAATAAAATCTAAATTTCTTGAATCTGCGACGAAGGTTCCTCGTCATCTTCCAACAGCCACAAGTCCGTCGGAATTTTGCTAAACACTTCATTCATTAACTCCTTCAAAATATCGCCTAAACTTTGTCCAATGCTTTCGCTGAGGTCGGTAATGATTTCATTGGAATTTTGATTCAGAAAGGAGTTTAATGTCTGTCCTGAAAGTGAAATTTAATCACGCGGTAGATCAAGCTAAAGCGCTTTACCCAGTACTTCATTCCCGTTAAATAAATTACGCAAGTTCACCCGCATCCCTCCTACTTTAAAGTTCACATTCATATGATCTATTTGGAGTATCTCGCGACCTTCGACCTTTGGGAAACTTAGATCGCTAAGCACATTGGTATCGACTTTTATTAGCTTCAAGTCGCTCGTTCCGTGGCCGACCAGTGGAAGGACCAGTATGTTACCCTTAAGATTATATCGCGCTTTAATATCGAGTAATGGGAAAAATATGCCGGAGTGCATCTTCCTGTTGGGAATGTCCATGCTGTAATCCGAAGATGAGAGCAAGTCGTTATATATCGGTTGCTTACCTTGTAAAGGTTGGCGTTGCGTTGGAAGGCCCTACTACGGTGAGATTTATAAAGCTACCGGCTAAAGTGATCGGTCCTGATCCTTTACTCACCGAAACACTGTCGAGGTATAGCGGTTCGAATGGGGAAATATTCGCTTGTGGGATACCTGCAAAGAAGGTGCGTTATATCACAATGTTTAATATGGATTGGTCCCCAGTAGACAGTCAATGGCGGATAAATTGTCACTTTGCTTCGATGCTTTAGAATATTGTCGTCTTGCACAATTTAATTGGTTGGTTTCATTTTCTCCAAGCCCATTGATTAACCATCAAGTATGTGTATATGAGTGGCATTAATCACACTTACTTTACGGACGAATATGACACAACGGAAATTAAGTACTTTTAGGGGTACAGGAACGCAAATGTAATAAACGTTGCGCAGAGTTGACAGTAGAGGAATGACCGAGGGAATGACATGCTTTTCCTCTTTATTATGGAGAGTTCAACGAATCCGCACAATATCGTACAAAATCTACACCACTAAAACCATCCAAGAATCTGGATTAAAATGCCAAAATGTATAAAATACAGTCAGGTTTTATAGTTATAATCCCGGAAATATAGGGGCGGGTTACGAAATTTAATTACTTTACAGGGCGCACCTGAGCAAAGGGGGTCATAAACTCATAAACATAACTCTTACTAGATTTTTTGCTGCAGTTACGAAAGTGAAACATTTTCTTAAATTAAGACTCGCTCACCTTTTGCTAGCTGCGGGAACATCTGAACAAACATCTCGTTTAAGCACTTGCTAAGATTCGGATCGGTCCTCTTGCACGCTTTCAGCCAGGGCGCTGAAATTAAACAATTCTTAATTAGCGTTTTTTGTATTGTATGTAATCTGCTTAGATCCCGTTGTGAACGAAGATGGTATTTTCATTTAAATGTTTTACACAATCTGTGTAGGCGACTTTTGCTAAATTGGCTAGTTCACCTTTAGTTATTTAGTCTACGTTTTGAACTTCTGCAAAGTATTGGAAAGTTTTCCCATTTAAGCTAAGGGTCGTCCCTATCGCTTTGAATCGAGTACTTTAGAAGAACAAAAAATAACATTTACTGTTCGCAAGTGCGACTAAAACATGATCAGCAAAATCACATTTGTTGGATAAAATATGTTACGGATACGTTTATCAAATTTCTGGCAAAAATTTGCAGTTCGGGTTTCATAAATATTGATTGCTGCCACCTCGCTCTATTAGTTTTGTCGTTTATCGCGCATCCCATATATATACCTACGCAAAACAGATTTTTCACAGTTAACTTCCAAATATTTGCCGTGGAAGCATGAACTTATAAACAAGGGGGTGAATAACATGTACATAGTCCTGTACCTATAGTAATGTCTATACGTTTCTGTCCTCAATTTTCATTCTTTATTAACGAGCCTACCTTGAATTTATAATTTTGTGTTGTCTGTCCGTCTATTACCACGATATCTCGTAAACGAATGGACCGATTACGATAAAATTTTGCAGGTGGATTTTTTTATCAAATTTGTAGATCGGAGTTCGTGAATTGGCAATGTAGACAAATAGAAAATAAAGAAAGCCCTTTTGACATCTCCGTTAGTTACCAACCGAATTGCATGAAAATCAATATGCGCATAGCTTTAGCCATGGATTTAAATGAAATTTGATACATAGCCACTTGGAATAAAAACAAATTTAAGGCCAGTTTCCAAATTTGGTTTTGTGCATGATGTGTAGTGCCAACTTTCTTATTTATGGAAGCTCGTTTTTTATATTTGTTCACATTTTTATTTTACTGTATTTTCCCAATCCAATATCCACCCTAATTACCTGTATGTAATATATCTTTCTACGACCTCCCTGAAAATGAGGTCATAAAACGTGTAACTTATAGGCATGTAATAGTACCCATACCTATACTCGTGCGTAATGAAAAAAATTAGAATAGGTCATGTTATAGGTACGTTTGGAAGTGATAATTATCAACAAACGTCAAAACGGTCAACCAACGTCGTTTTAGGTTTTGCCTTCATTTGCTTTAATTTCGAAATTCCCAGAGGTCGTAGAAAAAGTATACGATTTTTGCAGGTTTATCAAGATCAGCAGCCCTCACTGGCTGTGACACCGTCACCGGTTTCTAAGGACGTGGGAACAAAACTGCCTTCGAAGCTTGGAATCAGTGTCCCGACGACGTGACGTAGTGGTGGCATTTTCATTCCAGGAGCAATGAGCGTGCCGCCACATCGGAACTTAGAAGGGTCAAAGAACACATACACCAATTTTCATATAGCTTTACTCAAAACTGCGAACTTTTTTCCTAATCGCCCCGACTTAAAAAAAGTTATTTTTTTAATTTTACTTACCAATTTTGTAAGAATAGCTTTTAAATAGACCTTGATTTGTGATACTTTGCGTGGTCCCTCTATTTGGGAGCCATAGTTTCAATTTTAATTTCTCTTGAATGTTGGGTATGTAATTATGGGTTTCTCTTCCTTTTATAGATTCTTGCCATTCATTTTGCCATATATTTAAGTAATTTTGAAGTATTTTTTTTCATTGGTATTATAGTTTCTTCTGTTGAATTTATTTTATTCATAAAAGCCATTTCAGGAAATTCAAAGTTCGTTTTAAGTAATGGAAAAATGAAGCGAATTGAGACTCAAACAGTTTTTATTATTTATTAATAATAAAAACTGTTTGAGTCTCAATTCACTTCATTTTTCCATTAAACAATCACTCAAACACTATGGAGTCCTTCATCAACTTCGTTTTAAGTTTTTCTTTTCACTGGTTGTATTTTGTAAATTTATTTCTTGCTCTTTCTTAATTTGTAATTTTGTATGTTTGATTTAATTTTTGTCAATTGATGCCATTATACGCGCAATAATTGTAAATGAGTATTTTTTATAGGAATTTTAAATTTTACTTATTATATTTCTTTGTGTTAAAATTAACATCTTTGTTTGTAGTTTGGTTAAGTTAAGCTCCACTATAGTTTAGTAACAATGTTCTCTTGTTAAGCCCCCAGTTTTCTTTTAAAGTGCATATATATTTTTTTAGATCTATTTTAAATGTGCGTGTGTATACTTAAAATCTTTCTTGTAAAGTTATTCTAAGGTATTTTATTTTATCTGCCATTGTAATTTGTTTATTGTTAATTTTTCTGGTTGGTAGCCTCTTGATATCGATTTTTCCTTTGAAAAGTATCATTTCAGTTTTTTTTACTTGAAATTTCTAATTTATTTTCCAAACATCAATTTTCTAAATATTCTATAAATGTTTACACCAAATTTTCTAACAGTTTTCTCGAATTTTCATCAATTAATACAATTTTATCGTCTACATAGCAATCTCTTTGAAATTTTTATTAAAACTAGTGCCTTCCTCAACGATTATTTCTATTTGACCTCAAAAACTCAAACAAAAATTCAAATTGATTGTAAGTTAAAGCTCTTAAATGGCCCGTAATACATAGATAAAATTTACTTTGAATAAGTAAAGGAAAAGGGAGGGAGGGCTACGTCCGAATAAACCTGACCATCCAAAGGATTACTACCTACATCTGCGAATATTTGCTCTTGACTCTATAAATTGCTTGCAAAAATCTCTTAAATAACTCATAATCCATGCATACAAATTAATTTCAAATAAGTAAAGGGAAACAGAGGAGGGGCTACGTCCAAGTAGGCCTGGCCACCCCAAATGTTATACCTTTTTGCTCTTTTAACAGTGTAAGAGTGGCCCTCAAAAATTGCAATAATTACTTGTAAATCATCTCTCTTAAATAGTTCGTAACTTCGGTACAAAGTTAAATTTTAAAAAAGTAATTCCAATCAGTGGGGGAGGGGGCTGATTCCAAGAAAACTCGGCTACCCCCATAATGAATTTTAGAATCCTAGTGATTTAAACGAGCTCTAAAGTATTAGGCTTGCGATATGAAAAGATCCTAAATAACTGATAAATTGGATGCAATTCTTAAATTGATTCACAATATTAGGGGTAGGTCCACGGGGTAATATTTCTTTGTTATAGGCAACAAAGCAGGGTCAACTGATATTTATTCTAATACTTGTATTATGTTAATGTAGATATAATATTCTCCTCAGTAAGAGACCATACTTATGTATCCTTCGAAAGCATTTTTGAAGAGCTTTCAAATGATGTATCAGATAATAAGGCAATTCCTAGCTTTAGCGTTGTTACTACCTGGTCAAATATGTGTTCCATACAATTAGGTAGGTACACGTAGCAACGTGGTACCTGCAGTATTTTTATTTGATACCGCAGCTGAAGAAATTAGTGTAGGCTATATTCAGTCTATATCGTTGATAAACAGGAAGAAGATTTTAACACAAACTAAAGAGTGGTGCACTGCTAATAAGTTAAATTTAAATTCAACGAAAACTGAACAATTGTTATTCTCTTTAAAACGCCATGATGTATCTTATTCGCCGTCAGTAAAATTTGTTGGAATACACATTGACCCTAAGTTGCAGTTTACTCTTCATATTGATTATATTCAATCAAAACTAAGTAAAAATCTGTTTGTCTTGCGTAGATTATGTGATAGGGTGACGTGTGATGTCCTCAGAAAGGCGTATTAT